TTCTTTTATACTCCCTCTGTTTCAATTTATGTGAACCCATTTGATTGGGCACGGAGTTTAAGAAAAGAGAGAAGATTTTTGAACTTGTGGTGTAAAATGAGACACATATATTTTGTGTGGCTATAAATCATTGTATAAAGGTAAATTATTTCCAAATAAGAAAAGGGATCATTCTTTTTGACACGGACTAAAAAGGAAATAGGTTCACATAAATTGAAACGGAGGGAGTAATAAATATACATTGATAAATAGTTATACAATAATGCTTTCATCTTATTCTTTTTTTTGTACAATTAATGTACATTGTTGAATAATTATATAATATCTTTTTCCTGAGTGCATTTATGAAAGTCATTTGAAAGTTTATATATGATATAATACTAGTCTAATAATGATATCTTGTTTTTTCGGATCTATTGTTACGTAAGTTATTCGCAAGTCGTGTACGTTGTATAATTTTGGTATAGTAATGATATGATATAATTATAGTATAATAATGATATTGTTATAAAACAATAAAAGGGGAAGAAGAATATTGCAGAGAAAAATAGAGATGGAACTCTTATTGATTTGGAATCAATTATAATGGAATAGAACCCCTTTATAGAGGAAAAATGACTTAGCCATCAAGTAACAAACCCTAAAATCTCTCTAAAATATATACATTCACATTAGATATAATTCTATTTATAACATTTCCCCTTGAATGTCTATTCAACAGATAATGTGTCTCGTTAAAATCTTAACTAAAATAAAATTCAGTGGGAAAAAATTTCTAGAAAAGAAAAAAGAGCACATGTTTAGAAATATGCATTTTGGTTGACTCGTTAAAAACCTTGCAAGGAAAACCCAGTGAGACAAAACCTTATAATGAAAAATGAGTACAACGCGTATTAACTCCCCCTGATGAGAGTATCAATTCACATCTTTGAGACTTCGCATTCCAATCTTGTGCACCATCTTTAAAAGATCGTTGGTAGATATTTGATAAACAAATCAGCCATATTAACTTGAATGGATATACTGCACCTTGAAATCATCATTCTTGATAGATATGTAATGTCTTCATAAAATAACGTGTAATAACCTTTTAAATATCTCCTTAAAGATAAAAATTCTCGCTATCATATTATCATGCTTATAGTTATAGCAAGATGCAAATGTGCACAAATTGCACTTAGGATGTAGTACTTCGTGACCAGGAATTTTATATGCTTTAAGCAGTTTAAATCCTTTAGGGATTGTCATATAAGTTAAGTCATATACGCCATATAAATAAAGTTTAGATGCATATCAAGTTTTCATGTCATGCTAGGCATATAAGATACATAAAAGTGATTGCATACACTATTGACTTTATACTTTCTAGTGTTTGAACTGCACGCCCACAACTACATGTCTTTCATATGAAACCAATTCTACTTGAATTGTTTATCTAGACTTAAGATCCTCGTATATATTTAGCGCTATCATAGATATCGACGACGAACATTTTATATCGGTTCCAATAATTTTTTCATAGAGCCATAACATATAGATCTCTTCATTCATTTCAGGTGCCTGAACCTCTCATAAGGTTTTATGAAATGTTATGTCATGTACTCTTCTAGAGCACTTGCCTCTTTATTATGATCGTTTTGATCATTTGTTCGTCTTCTTTATCGAGGATTTTAATTAGTACCGATTTGTCTATCCACGTCAGGTGTAACGTAGACTTTATCCTTCTAGAACTTATTTTTATAGGAGCATTTATAGTGAGAATATAATTATTTCCTTTGGGTCAGCAAATGCGTCTAGCATGCTTTGCAGTATATTGTAGATAAATTATCTTTTTGCGAACTTCAAGTTCATATTATCTTCGAGGATCTAGAGATACAAACGATAATTCATTCAACGTAACTTTTCTCAATTGTTTATCCCGTCTTTCCCTCGTGTTAGAAAAACTAACTTGCTTCCTCAACTTTGGAAATCCACCTCTGTGTGTTATGGCGTTAATCAAAATATACACTGCACATCAATAATAATAAGAAGATAGAATTATTTGGTTCCTGACCCCGAACCCATTGTGAGGGGAGAATATAATATACTTTCGTATATAATATATATCAAACTTATATAGATAACTTTGTTCATATAAGCAATAGTTTAACTATTAAGTGGAGACACTCAATAAATCAGTTTGCTAAAACAATTGTGATGTAAACCAACTTATCAAGATGAACTGTCTTGAATAGAAAATATGAAAATTATGCTTGAAATTAAATTATTGAGCAAGTTATCTCGCAAACACCAGGTTGCGGGTTAATAATAATCACACATGTAATCATCTCATAGATGTATCTTATGTGGTATACATGGCAGGTGAATGAGCTCATATTCACCTTTGATATTTCCGGCATTCATGGGATTCAATCCCAATTTTAGTTGGTCTATTAATTAATGAGAACGAGCTAACATAAGAGAATTCGTAAAGAACTTTCTAGTTTTTTAATATTTACCCATGTGAATTCTTTTTTATTTTTGCACATTATACTTAAATTAACATGGCTAAACCCATTATGCCAACTAGATAAATTATCAATATTGATAAACTTCAGGTTTACACCATGACGTGTACAATTATCAATAACTCCAAGTTTATTATGATACGGATTTTTATATCAATAAACGTCTACTTTATTGTGGCATTCTTTTTATTTGTGTAGCACAAATCGGAGAATAAAGCGGGTAAATTTTCACGTACATATTATCACGCTATAAGTTATAGTAATAGAAGATATCAAATCTTTCCTTTATTTTTAGTCTCAATATAACCAACCATTTTCGCGAATACTTTAGAAACTCAATAAGTTTCTTTGAGACTTACTACGAGATAATACCTTATTAATAATCAATTGTATTCCTCCAAAATAGTAATAATTGGCTCTTCTAAAGCTCTCAGTTAATTTTGTACTATCATATATTCATCAATATCCATATGGTTGAATAACTCTCTCAGAGAGAAAGTTATATCATTATGATCATGGTCAAAATTATTATAGGCAAGATATGTTGCTTCCATTACTTTTGTCTTATAATAATCACATTGCCAAAATATTTTGGCATAATCATAATAGGTACGTGATCAATGACCATTCATGCCATAATAATAAAATTATTTTTGTATTTCATCTCAAACCTCCTTCTAGAGGTGAGTGTGGTACATTCACTACCACTAGTATGTTCATATTATTCCAAGAATGAATATGTATTCATAAATCATATGTTGTCACATTCACATCATGAATGGACCATAATCATCTATATGTGCTTTACAAAATCTCATGTCAAATCGATGACAAATATTACTTTCACATAGTGAGTGATTATTTTGAGAATCCTTATTGTTCTCATTACCACAATAATGACCATTATAATTTATTTTTATTGCCACGTCCAAATCCATTGATACTTTTACGGTAATAATTTTATCTTCTTTCAGACTTACCACACACTGCTACCATATTCTCTTAAGGGATTGTGAATGAAGCAAATTCAATGGGACAGATTTGTACTTCTTGTGCCCACAATCATACATGAATTTGATCATGGCAAGACATAGAAATTTTACCACTTCGGGTGGTTATAATTTCTTACAAACTCTATTAGAGATATAATCAAAATTTACTGTCTTTGCTTGTATTTAAAATCAAATTATAGAATTTCAAGAATTTAAAAGAGAAAAATAAGGTAATATACTTACCTTAATCCAGAATTTATTCCTAAAGGAAGCTCATGGAACAATTGACAATCATTATGCTCAATATTATTTATAAGTTGAGCACCATGCACGTATTCAAAAGCATGGTGACCAAAACAGATGCCTAATATAGGAATATAAATGCATTCATGCAAGAGCCTCACGCAAATTCTATATCTTCTCTCTACGGGTGGTTTAATTTCTCAAACATTACATAACTAATTAACAGTATATCTACAAATTTAAATATCTGCCATCTACTCAATTGGTTAGAGTCTCGTGCTAACGTATTATAAAATAATAAAAGGAGAAGAAGAATATTACAGAGAAAAGTAGAGAGAGAACTCTTATTGATTTGGGATCAATTACAATGGAATAGAATCCCTTTATTTATAGGAAAAAAATGACTTAGCCAACAAGTAACAAACCCTAAAATCTCTCTAAAATATAGACATTCACCTTAAGTATAATTCTATTTATTACAGATATCTTGATGTATATGTTGATGTAAATTAATTGCAATCGTATATATGGTATAATGAGTGTAGAATAATGATATATGGTATAATGCTAGTATAATAATAGTATTTTGATGTTTCAGCCTTTTAGATGCGCTTTTATGTAAGTTAATTTCTAGTATTATACACAAAATAGAAGTGAGGACTATAACTACCGCGGAATTTAGAAGTGAAAACCCCACATTTGGAGTACAATGATATAGAGAAAGATTAAAAACAATCAAAACTAATCCCTTGATTTGTGGGTAGTGATTTAAAACATATTGTCCAATCACGTTAAATTTTTGAAAACATGTATGTAATACCAGTAAATAAATATTTTTTTTTGGAATAAACCAAATATGCTATTGTTTAAATAACTAATTTCAAATAGGTGAGCTATAGTGTAATAACTAAAAATCCCTTTAAAAATCGCAAGTTCAATGATCCTGAGTTCTGACTGAAATTTTTAGAGCAGTGGAACATACTAGGAAGTGCACAGATAACCCTTCTTAGGTACAGTCATTTTTAGGTATGCTATTTAGGGATTAGTCGATATTTATTTTTGTCCTAAAATTTTAAAGTAAAAATTTTAATTTCAGGATAACTTAAGATATTTTTATTCTCAAAACTGAAAAACGTCTTTAATGACTAATTTTTCCGATACTACGCTATCGGTCCATGAAGTTGGGCCATTTCTAGTCACTGTTTCAAGCCTAAAACAGCTCAAGCCCAATATAGATGTTGATTACCGCTGGTTTAGCTGCAGCTCTCTTCCTCTTCTTCCCTTCATGTGTCTTTGCCGCCTCCTCGTCCCGCAAATTTTCTCTGCGCATACCTTCTAAGTGCGGTTTTTTTGGAATAAAATCCACAGTGAAAGTGAATAGGAACAAACAAAGAAGAAAAATATGCCTCGTACTACCACTTTGGAGTGCCCTGGTTGCCCTCCTCTTAGAGCTTTAACTTTTGACATTCTTGGATTAATCAAAGGTAAACCCATTTCAGCTTTAAATTTCTATCTTTGGATAAAGTTTGAATCCTTTTTTTTCTTTAACTAGCCTACTATCTTGCCTCTCTTTTTTTTTCCCCTAGAAAAATGGATTTTTGTCTATTTTGTTTGAATTAAAACTGACCCTCTTTAGCTTAGAATTAGTGGTGCCAATAAGTAGTTATTTTCTTACGAATCTTTTTTGGTGTAGTCATTGAAGGTAAGGGTGAGCAAAAGGAAGCTCCTAAGGTGGTGGAGAGATGGGGGGAGCCTGATGCTTCCAGGTGTGTGCTTGCCACGTCAATTGTTGACCGTGAATTTGACCCTGTAAGTTGTCTCTATGTACTTTGCTACATTATTTATGTGCTATACTGTTGTGCCTGTGTGCTAACTTTTGATTTAGTGTGTTTTCTTTTTCCTCCATTGTTTATCAATGTTTTGTGTATGCAGTGTGTTTCTGTGTTTTCTACATGCATGATTGAAGGTATAGGTTGAAGGGTTAGCCTGTTAGGTGGATACTTTTCGTGATTGAGAGTTGGTTTTGTGGGTGAGGTTATAGCATAGCAGCTGATTGAAGAATCACGTGTGTTGTTTGGAGTTGTGCATTTACTCCTATATCAGTTCTTAATCTAAATTCACAAAAGGGTAAAAGAAAAATGGTTTGATTGTGGAACTTCAGAAATCTAGAAGCTACTCTGATAATAGGAAAAAGGTTAGGCCGAACGGTAATTTCTTTTGTTAGCTGATATGGATGGATTCGTTCTTTTTTGACATGTAAGGTAAGCATTTTATACATGAATGACCAGCAACAAGGTTATGCTGGAATATTGAACCAATTACAAGCTTCTGTTAGTTATAATAGAGTATATAAGGAGTTAAAAATGAGTAACATTTGCATTTGCCATGCTGTCCAAGAAGATAACAAAAGTATGCAAATGAACTTAAGACTAAGTATATTTTCTTGTTTGTCTTCTAAAATTCTGGCATTCCTCTCTTGCCAGGTAGTCCACCAAATAGCTGTCGGGATGGCATACCATAATCTTGTGTGAGTACCTATCAGTCTTCTGATAATCTACCCCTGTAGAAGTTCCAAAAGAGTTCTAGGCATAGCCCATTTGTGTCCCAGAAGAGTGAGAAGCATGCCCAGCAGCTGGGCAGTGACCCTAGAATGCAAAAATAAGCTCTTTACAGGACCAATCCCCTTTCTCTGTATGTAGCACTAAGTGCGGCAAGCATTTCTTCCCACCAACCAAATGAAGCTTTGGATCTTGTATGGTCCAGGACTTCTGCGAACTTGTTTCCAAGGCCAAGATGTGGCTGTGATAGGGTGTCATGAGAAATGGAGTAGCATGATTTAACAGGAAAAAACTCCTCCTTTTGTACCCTTCCAGCAGACGCACTCTTTTTGTTAGGACAAATGCACATGGTTCCTATCTCTTGTAGCAATAAGCATACCCTATCCAAATGCCAATCATTGCAATTCCTTCAAAAACCAAAATTCCACCCATGAATTAAGTAATAATCAGCAACAATAGCTTCTGGATGGGTTCTTTCTTTTAATTTGCAACTTTGGATTTCTGCTCTGAGCTAGTTAACAGGATAATAATTCATGTCATTAACTCAAAAAAAGAAAAGGATCGTTTTTGGGGGTAGAAAAGAAGTAGAAATAATTCCATTCTTTACCTGGTTCAACCATGTTAGAGACTTGAGTAAGTTCAAGTGACAGCTCGGCCGAAAATCAGGTTATGTGCTTTATGTAAACATGTATTTGGTTATGCAAGTTAAACGCCCCTTGAGGCGTATAATTACTTCATACTGGCATCATGCAATGAATCATCTTGTTTAATTTTTTTGATAAGTAGAATCATCTTGTTTTGGCGGTCAAATTGTGCAAGGATGCCGTAAAAGATTTCTTTTAATTTCTAATCAGTTTAGATGCAGTGAAGGTATTACTTAGAAGTTAGAACTGATTTGGAGAATATTGGATATTTATCTTCAATTGCCTGTGATGTAGTCTGAGTGTTATCCTCTTTCCATTTTTTTTGCAGCTACTAGGTGTAGCAAGGAAAAATGGCTCGGTGAGGCTTTATCTTTGATCAAAATCGAGATAATATGAACTTGTCAAGTTTTCTCGAGTATTGAGCCTTATTTGTGTATCCTTTACTACATTTATACTTTACAGATTGACGTGCTTAGTCCTGTCAATGGAGATGTTCGTGCCTCCATTTCAAATGGAAGTCAAAATGAAACAGGATCTGAAGATAATTCTCTAGTTGGCTTACATCTATTTGGAAAAGAGAGATTGGACTCATCATCGAGGTATTGTCTTAGACCTGCTTTAGAGAGTACAAGTATGAAATATCTGATCACCCAGGTTAGCTCATGGAGTAAGCAACATGTAGAAGTAAATGCATTCTCAGACTTGGATACAGAACATATTGCTCAATAGCTTGGTCCTTCTCTTTAGCAATCCAAATATTTAAATATGTATTTCTCCTGCGCTTAATTTGTGTGGAAAGAAGATTACCTTCTGATCGAATGTGTAATTGACACGTGAATTGGCAAAAGATATTCATGGAGTTGTTTGGCGTGCGGATGGAATGACGTTGGGTTATGTTTTCCACATATCCTAATGACTAATGAGGAATATACCTTTGTCATTCTCTTTAAGCTGTAAATTTTATCTGCTATAAATAAAGTGTGTGCCAACCTTCGAGGCCGGGGCTCAAATCCTGGCAAAGACAAAAGTACTAGGTGATTTCTTCCCATCTGCCTAAAGTAGAGTTACCCGGTACCTTGGTCAGAGGTAGCTGGTAGCTGGTACTTGGTGAAATAGTCAAGGTGCGCACATGTTGGGCTGAACACCACCTTCGGAAAAAAAATCTATATTGTAAATATGAGGCAGAGGGATAAGAGTAATATGCGACATGTTATTCTTGGCTTAATCTGGACCGATGCTATTTCTACTTCTGATGTTAGCCTGTGTTAGCAAGACCCTTATCTGTTAACCAGGTGTAAAACATGAACTAAATGTGTATTTTTTGGTGTCCCACATGATATGAAGGCCAAACATGAACTCAACATGGGATAAGAGTTAATCGCCTCTTATCCCATTTGCTATCCATGAACTGCGCAGCCTCTTATGAATATCCTTATACAAATGTAATTATAAACTTCTGGCCTGTACCCAATAGGTGAAGATTGGAATAATTGATGGTCACTAGATTATCATTTCATATTCCATAATATCCAAAGTCAACATCATCTAGGATGGTGATTAAAATTTAAAACAATATAGTGTTTGAAATGAGTTATTAACTACTGGTAAGTAACTATCATTGCAAGTGGTGTGCTTGCTCTGTGTTGGCCTGCATGTGGATTGAAGATTAAGACTGCCTCAGACATGTGGCATCATTTTTGAGGAATCTCACTCAGAGGAAATCAGGCTTGTTTCTGAAAGTTTTTCTTCTTAATTTTATATTTATATATTTTCTTATACATTTATAGGTCATGTACCCTGCTTACATGCACAAGAAAAGGACAAGCAAGCATGAAGTGTGTTAAAATGTCAAAGTCACTTGAAGATTCTGGTAGTGAAGGTACTCAAAGAGCATGGAATGTTTGTGGTTCAGGCAGTATTTTGTGCTCTAAGGTAGATGCAGATGAAAACTATGCATTGTTTGGTGGGTGAGTAATCGTAAATATAGGGTTTTGGAAGATAAAATTCATGATGGAAATAGCGTGTTAGTTAATGACTTCTTCTTTGATATATCAGGAAGGGTGTTGAGGTTAACGTCTGGGATCTAAACCAATGCGCTAAAGTTTGGACTGCGAAATCTGTGAGTTTCACCATCTTTCTCTTTAGAATTTCTGGGTGTAACAAACAATTGACTGGCTTTTTGATATACTTCATGAATTTGACGTGTTGTTTTCTTGTTCCAGCCACCAAAAAATAGCCTTGACATATTCACCCCAACTTGGTTTACATCTGCAACTTTCTTGTGCAAAGATGACCACCGCAAATTTGTTGCAGGCACTAATAGTCACCAGGTATTTTTTTTCCTTGTCAATTTTTTCTCGTTAGCTCCATTAAGTGTGTGCTTTTCATTTGTATCATGAAGGAAAGTTTGATGCAACAGCTTCACAAGCGGTCTTGCCAGGAAGGACTTCATGTGGTTTATCTTATAGCTGTCTTTTGACTAACACATCTAGGCATTTTTGAGGCTGCCAAAAGACAACCTCTAGGGCCACTTCCTTCTTGGAGTGGGTGGGGGCGGGGGGGAGTGAGGTAATGGAGAGGGGAGAGATAGGTCCCAGAAATAATCCGACAAGGGTGCCAAATGGGTGGGCTGATTCTAGTCTTAGACGGGTTAATAACTTTTTGGCTCTCAAAAGTCGGTGATTTCCGCTCCTAGGGCTTAGTCAAGGGGCAAAGGTTGAGGGACTTGTGACTTAGGTCACAGCTTTGAGCCCTGCTTCATGCAAACTAAGCCTAATATGTTAGTGGAGAAGGGTAGACGGGCGGGCCCATTATCCCCGAGTTTTGAAGGGTGCGGTTGGTCCTAAGGGTCGGCCCCAAACGGATATGTCAGTCATAAAAAAAAGTAGGTGATTCTCCAACATGCCAGATATTTTAGGCTGGTCAACATCAGTGCTGAAATGGATTTGACAAGCTTAGCTGTCCGTCTAAACCATTTTCTGTCCTTCCTTTGTCCTCTTCCTAGAATGCTGCTACTTTTTTTCATTCTCCCCCCCCCCCCCCCC